TTTTTTTTTTTGGTAAAATAGGTAGTACCTTTACAACCTGGAAAGTTTAATTTGATCTCAATCATCAGTGAGATGGTTCTCAAATGCATGGGAAATGAAATATGTGGATAAATGTGAGGTTATCCATTTTCATAAAAACAGGAAGGCAGATTATTATCTGAAGGATGATAGATTGAGAAAGGAGGAAATGCAATGAGACCTGGGTATTCTTATACACCAGTAGCTGAAAGTAAGTGCGCAGGTGCAGCAGGCAGTGTAGAAGGCAAAAGGTATGCTAGCTTCCATAGCAAGAGGATTTGAGTACATGAGCAGGAATGTCTTGCTGCAATTGTACAGGGCCTTGGTGAGACCACACCTGGTCTGATGTGTACAATTTTGGTCTCCCGAGGAAAGATGTTCTGGCTATGGAGGGAATGCAACAAATGTTTACCAGACTGATTCCTGGGATGGCGGGACTGACATATAAAGAAAGGCTGGATCAGTTAGGACTATATTCACTGAGGTTTGGAAGAATGAGGGAAGATGTCATAGAAGCCTATAAAATTCTAACAGGACTACACAGGGTAACTGCAGGAAGGACATTCCTGATGATCGAGGAGTCCAAAACAAAGGGTCCCAGTCTAAGGATATGGGGTAGGTCCATGGAGGACTGAGATGAAGAGAAATTTCTTTGTATAAGCAAGTGGTGAGCCAGGGGGATTTTCTTCCACAGAAAGCCAAAGCATTGAATGTTTTCTAAAAGGAGTTGGATGTGTTTCTTAGGGGTAAAGGGATCAAAGGGTATGGGAAGACAGTGGGAACATGGTACTGAGTGGAAAAAGGGCTATGATCATATTGAATAGCAGAGCAGGCTCAGAGGGCTGAATGGCCTATTCCTATATTTTATGCTTTCTATGTGCTAGGATAAAGGATTGTGGAGACAGCCTCATCTTTGGCTGGTATTGGGAAACATCTGGAAGCACAAGTTTTCTGTGCTTGGACTCTGAAGTGACTGAGCTCTGCATTTCTGACTGAGACTTCTGTTCTAAGCCTCTTCAGCAACGTGCAGTGTACCTGAAACTGGAGTCCTTCCTTTCGTGCCGGTTTGTTAAGGGAAGAATTGCACTAGCTGCCATATTCCGGTAAATGAAATAGCTTTACAGTGCACTAGTCCATGGGTTAGTGACTGGTTGTGTGAATGGGTAGGGTAGGTGAGGTATGGGGTGGAATGGCAGGTAAGTGAAGTGGGTAATTGCGACAGGAAGGGTTGTCCATTTGGAATTAGTCGGGTTGGATTGGAGAGGATTGGAGTTAATGGGTCAGAGCAGGAGTCATGGCTTTGGGGGCTCCGCGGAATTGGTCAGAACATCTAAGGAGGAATTGGGGATATAGAATGAAATGCGTAGGAACCCTGGAGTTAGACTAGGTTTGCTCCTGTTGTAACATTTCCTGGGTAATTACCCAACATCTCCAATTGTGATTTCAGAGTTAAGGATTATTTTGGCGGGCCTGGGTGCAAAATAGAATTGCCCTTCGAATGCTCATTTCTCCTGGGGACTTCCAAGAGGTCCTGCTGTGGATCTCTGTTTGCAAGATCTGGGACATTAACCTTGAGCAAATGTCAAGTGTTTCATTGGACCAGTGAAGTATTTATCAGTGATTAAGTTCATATTTTTAATCTTCAATTCTACATTACCCTGATTTTATATTGAATTTAACATTTCTAAAGTAAGAAACCAAAAATCAATGCTACATCTTCAGACTTGGTAAAACTAAAGATGATTGGCAAACAATTGACGGAAATTGCAAAGAATAATGCACCAATAGCTGGAAATCTCATTGCACCGTACTTACTTTAGATTGCCATGGTCACCACTTGGAGAGATTACTTTTGAGCTTTGTCTACTACTGTCACAAGGGTTATCAAACTTTTTTCCAGCTTTACCCCTCATCAGTAATGATTACTGCCACAGTACATCCCTTCAATCGATTTGGATGCGTGTCCTCAGTTGTACATTGGTACTGTTATGTTTCTGCAGACCAATGTCTTCCTCCAGTGTTGCTGAATCAAAATCCTGGAACTCCCTTCCGAATAGCACTGTGGGTGTATCTACCTCCCTATGGACCACAGAAGTTCAAGATGGCAGCTCAGCACCACCTTCTCAAGGCCATTAGGAATGGACAATGAATATTCGCCTCACCAGTGACACCTGCACCCTACTAACAATTTTTGAAACGGTTGTGTACATATAAGTCATTTATCTGCACATTGCATTGAGCACATGCTTTTTAAATCAAGGTGCAAATTACCAATAATATTGCAGATAGTTACATCTAAACAATTGTTTCTAACTGAAAAAAATTGCATTGAGCTCATGTCTTTCACAACCTCATGCTCTCCCAATGGAATCTATGAGCAATGGGTAACATCCAAATTGTAGTCACTATTGTTACATAGACAAATATGTCAACGGTGGTCCATGCTCATGATAGAGACAACTAGATAATCTAGTTTCAATTATGTTTGGTTGAGCATTGCACATTAGCCAGGATCCTGGCAGAACTCTCCTGCTCTGTTAAAATAGCACTACAATATCTTTTTGTCCTTGATTAACACCTTGTTTCATAGACAGCACTGCCTTTAACCCTTGATCAGCTACCTTAGTTTCGAGAGTGCTATCTCTGACTCAGGCTAACACAATTTGGTCAAAGTTATCAGAGAGTGGACTGGGAACTTAAATTGTAATTCAATTTCACTGTATACTAGAGACGTAAAATGATTAACAAGGAACTTTAAATTTAAATTTTAATTAAATTGTTTTTATTAAATGGTAAGCTAATAAAGCTAGCAACAGGGTCAGTTCTAAGGAGTAACTCAGAACCAATACAATCAATGTTACCATTTGAATTTGTCTTTAAATACAACTTCACAGACCCGCATGGTCCCGATCTTGGGAAATATTGTCCTGACTGAATAGACCTTTGTTTACCTGTACTTACAAACTGAGTAGAAGTTAAATTCGGCACAACTCTCGGTGATACATGTGAATGCATCAATACCTTTTTATTCTGTAATGGTTGCTAAACATTAAATGGAATGCTCATGTTAAATAACCAATGGCTTATTTGGTAATTATATTAAGCTATTTGAAGCTTATTAAAATTATAATTAAGTTTAAATGACTCTGTGGAATATCCCAGACCATTTGTAAGCATTTTCCTATCAGTTTTCAGTTAGACTTTGGTAATGAACGATAGTGACTCTACAAGCCTCTTATGTTGGTAAGTATTCCCCAGAAATGTGAGATAGTTGAAATATACAGGATTAATACCGGGTTTATGGTCTTCCTGTACGCCTATACATAAATGGAATATTCTACTTAGGTTGCCATGGGCTGTGTGACTCCTCACATTGTCTATTTAATCCATCAGTCAAACAGTTTAAATGAAAAAAATCAAAATAAATGGAAGTGCCTTCAGGATTTTAAGGGATCTCTGGTTGGTTCAAATTTTAAAAGTATGCTAATGTCTTTATATTTTATATTGAGGACTTCTAGAGCAGAATACTAACCTTGCTGAAGCTGCACAGATTTATCTTATGGGCGGCACAGTGGCTCAGTGGTTAGCACTGCTGCCTCACAGTACCAGGGACCTGGGTTTGATTCCACCCTCGGGTGACTGTCTGTGTGAAGTTTGCACGTTCTCCCCGTGTCCATGTGGGTTTCCTCTGGGTGCTCCAGTTTCCTCCCACAGTCCAAAGATGTGCAAGGTAGGTGGATTGGCCATGATAAATTGCCCCGAGTGTTCAGGGATGTGTAGATTAGGTGGGTTATGAGAAATAGGTCTGGGTGGGATGTTCTGAGGGACAATGTGGACTTGTTGGGCCGAATGGCCTGTTTCCACACTGTAGGGATTCTATGATCTCACTGCTGAAATAAATAGCGAAATGCAGCAAGGTAGGAAAAGATGGAGCTAACTTTGGCAGAGTGCATTATGTGGATGATACTGACAAAGGCATAATGCTCAAATGTGTCAATCACTGCTTCTCTTTGAGTGCCTTAGGATATCTTTTCCAGTAGCAGTATAAGTCCCTGATTCTGGTTTTGTCAGGGTCACTGGAACACAGGAAATGTTGTATTTTGATGTGACTCGTGTACAGATCTTGATGGTCATTTGATAAATAAATTCAAACCAAAGCTCCAATGTCGAAATGACAGTGTGCGTCACATAGCTTTCCTTTATTGAATTATTTATAACACATTCCCGTATCAACTTGTCTAAAAGCTTTGCAAAGTAAGTTGTTTGAGAATCACAGTTGCTGTTAGATGTCGGTAATGGCTCAATGGGTGGAATACTTGCCTCCTCTTCATAAGGCTGTGGGTTTGAGGTCCCAGTTAGAGACTTGGGCATGTGACTCAGGCTGGCACTTTAGTGTGGTACTTGTTAGGTCGAGGCCTCACGTGGACTCCCTGGTGGATGTAAAAATGTCATTGTGAGTTTTAAAGAAGACCGGGGGGAATTCAATCCAGTCTCCTACTCAAAACTCATTCCTCGTTAAGCATCATGAATACAGTTTATCTAGTTATTAATTCTCTGGCTGTTTGTGGGACCTTGGTGTGTGCAAAATTGGCTGCTGCCTTTATTACAACAATGACTACGTTACAAACTTTATGTGATTAACTGAAAAGCAGCTCGGGATGTACTGAGAATAAGAAAGAAGTTAGTGTCATGGGCTGAAAGCATAAAAAGAGATGAGAGAAATCTGCATTTTCTTCCATTTTTTTCATATGTAAATTCTATTTCTTTTGAACATGGACAATGTTACTGTTCTTTTTATTCATCCATGGAATGCAGATGTCACTGGCTAGGGCAATATTTACTTCCCAACCAAAGTTGCCCCTTCAGAAGGTAATGGTGAGCTGCCTTCTTGAACAGCTATACTTCAATTTCTTTCATTTATTCACAGGATGTGGATGTTACAGTCCATTTAACTGCCCATCCCTAATAGCCCAGAAGGCAGTTAAGAGTCAACCCTATTGCTGTGGATCTGGAGTAGGTAAGACCAGGTAAGGATGACAGCTTCCTTCCCTAAAGGACATTACTGAACTAGATGAGTTTTTCTGACAATCAACAATGGCTTCATGGTCATCCTTAGACTCCTAAGTCCAGATTTTATTGAGTTCAAATTTCACCAGCTGCCATGGTGGGATTTGAACCAAGTCCCAGAATTTTAACTGGGTCCCTGGATTAATCGTCTAGTGATATGACCACCAGACCATCACCTCCCCCAACTTTGCTGCAGGTAGACCCACAATCCTCTTAGGGAAGGAGATCCAGGATTTTGACCCAGTGACAGCAAAGGAACAGTAATATATTTCTGAGTCAGGATGATGAGTAGCTAGGAGGGGAACCTGCAGGTGGTAATGTCCCCATGTATATGTACCTTTGTCGTGGTTGTAGGTTTGGAAGGTGTTGACTGAGGAGCCTTGCCAAATTTTTGGAGTGCATCATGTAGATGGTACACACCTGGTGCTGCTGAACTCTACTAGTGGAGAGTGCGGATGTTTGATGTGCTAGTCAAGCGGGCTGCTTTGTCCTGGATGATGTTCACGCTTCTTGTGTGTTGTTGGAGGTGCACTTGTCCAGGCAAGTGGGGAGTATTCTGTCGCACTCCTGACTTGTGCCTTGCAGATGGCAGACAGGCTTTGGGGAGTGAGAAGCAGCATTTTCTTACTGGCTGCATGTGCCTCCAAGGTCTGTATGCAGCAGTGTCTTTCGGAATTGGAAGTCAATGTTGTGATCTGTGTGCTGACATCAATTACTGAGCAGGAAACATCGGAGCCGCTATATGTGTGCACAGCCATGCAGCTTAACGGGAACGTTGGTCAGAAGGTGAGTTACTCACTGGGAGATTCCTAGCATCTGACATGCCTTTGTAGTCACAGTATTTCTGTGACAAGTCTAGTTCAGTTTCTGGTTAATGACAACCCCCCAGGATGTTGATAGTGAGTGATTGGTGATGCTCACTATTGGTAATTGTAATAGCATAGGTAAAAAGTTATCATAGCAATGCCAATGAATGTCAAGGGGGATGGTTAGATTCTGTTCCGGACTCATAAAGTAACTGGGCTGATCATATCATCAAATTTCCAGAAGCTCCTGAACCCCGTGAAATTAGACTGGAGACAGTCCAGTCGAATCTGATGCCAAGGACTTGGAGAAGAACTTCCTGTTTCCAGCCAGCAATGGAGAAAGGAAAATAGAAAGGCCTCTTATATTAAAAGGTATATTATTACATTTACGGTTTCCTCATAACAGAAACTCAGAATAAGGGAGATAAAATTACACTGTTGACATTACAACCTTCCAATTAGCCATTCATGATGGCCCTTCAGCACCTAAAATGTCTGTCCTCATCATGTGGCTGAAATTGGAGCTGGTTGAATTGACAATTCTACATCAGTCGCCCTCTTGTCATCACAAGAAGAGCTGCTCCCAGCCTTAGTGACTAGAAGGCCTGCTCTCCATTTCTCTTTCTCAAAAGTTTCATCTCCAGAAAGAGTCGCAGAATGCCAAACTGGACTCATTCTGTAAGTACGAGAAATATTGCTGCACATTTGACTACCATTCCCCTGGATCCCAGGGAAACAATGGCTACAAGTTCAGCCAAGTGAATACTCCCAATCAGACATTGACTTCCTGGACTCAAAGTCACATAAAATAATGCCAACATCTTTAATTTAGAATTCATAATTTGGCTTCTTTCCCTCCTTTTTTTCAACCTTGTATATTTTGCGTGTGTAGTAGTAGTAGTAGTGAAACTATCCCTGCATTTTAAAAGTTTTGTTAACAAACGCTACCTTTTATTTCATGTTAAAGGATTTTGATGTGGTTTTAGTTTTAAGTTTGAAACACAAGAAAAATCAGGGTTTGGGGAATATCCTTCAGCCGACTTCAGGAAGCGATAGAAGTAAAAAGGAAAAGGAGTAAGTCAAATAATACCTCGCTTAAGAGAGGAAAATCATAATTTAAATTCATTCCCATTTACTTTTGTCTCTGTGATAGGTTCAATGTAAATCTGTTCTTTTCAAGGCATCCATGGTGCACCAGCTGCATTGCAAGAACAACAATGACACAATTGACCCAGCTGATCAGATCTTTTGAATGGTATGAATTGAGGATGTGCTGCCATTTTGGAAACTGGGACTTCTGGAGAAGCTCCTGCCTCTTCTTTGGAATTGTTGCGCAGGATTGATAATATCTACATCATGGAATAGACGGATAGTTTTGTGTCACATTGGAAAGGATGGCAACCTTAAAAGGTGACACATTTTCCATACCAAAATAAGACAGCGAATTGTATTGTACCCTGAAGTTCTGACCTTCAGATTAAACCCAGAATCAAAAACACTGTTTTAGGTGTAATAAATGAAAAGCATAAAATAATCCCCATTTGTTGTTTTTTTTTTTCTCATGAACAACGCTTTCATTGCACAGATGATCTACAGAGTTGAAAACTGACAAAGATCATTTAATATCTTGAAAATTTTAAACGTGACTGATAGCTGAACAACATATTCCTGCATTGGATGATCAAAAACTCTGAGGAAGAGAAATGGTCATGGAATCAAGTGAAGTCACATCTGAAAATCCAGAGTACAAGTCATTTCAGTCACTTGAAAACATTACCTGTAATCATTCCACCTCTAAATTATATTCTCCCACATCTGTTTAACTGACCTTTAGCTTGTTAATTTTGATTAGATTTTAAAGTTACTCCTGTGGTTAACAAATCATTTGCAAACATTTAAAAGCAATGCAGGATTGAATGGGATAGTAAGAACTGCCGATGCTGGAGTCAGAGATCACACAGTGTGGAGCTGGAGGAACACAGCAGGCCAGGCAGCATCAGAGGAGCAGGAAAGCTGACGTTTCGGGTCGGGACCCTTCTTCAGAAATGGGGGAGGGGAAGGGATCTCTGAAATAAATAGAGAGAGAGGGGGTCGGGCTGGGGAAGGTAGGT